ACTGCAACTGACATATATCCACATTTGAGGGACAATTTAGAATAGTTCAAAAAAGAGTTCAGGTACATGGTAAAAAGTCTTTTTGCTCTTCCTTCACTTCATCATAGCTTGCAAGATTATCTGAGGCCAATGCATTCCAGATTAAACTTTAGGCTTTCCTTTTAGGACATTGGACACCTGTAACACACTTAATCTTTCAAACCTGCTCAGAAGGTAAACAGGTACACTTACAATACAACCCAAGCAGTTAAGCAAAGCAACACTTAAAACAGTGCTGTGTCTTCTCCTCAGGCCTTACTGCTTGTCAATTTTAGAGCATACCGCAATTCACAAAATGAGGATTAGTCTAAATTTACTTTTACCGCCAAATATTTGTGCCATGGCTACATACTACAGCTGTTCTGTCTGTGCTCCCAGCTGAAGACCACTGTACTTCAGAGACTTCCTCAGATACTGGTTTTTCCAACAGGACCATGCAACGAGCCAGGTCTGCGTGCACGGTCAGAGATGGAGCTGTTTTACAGTGCCACCCAGACTCTGGATGAACACCCACTGAACCTCCTGGCCTTATGGACCAAGAGGACTACAGGAAGCACTGCAGTATGTGGCACTGGGCCCCTCAACACAGATGACAGCCTGCCTTAAGAAACAATGCCACTCTGAACAACATCAGACTCACAGCTCTGCTACTGCCCAGACCAGACTCTACGTGCTAGTCCAGACACTCAGCAGACATTAGCAACATGAGACTAGCCAAGTCTCATAGTCCTTCAGCCTAGGAGCAGAACACAGCAAGGGAACAGGACTGATTTGACGATCCTGGCCCCATGCAGAGCCTCAGCTCTTCCTTCCCATCTGTCGTCTTCATCTCCTGTTTGTATGACATCCTAGGACACAACAGTGACACGAAGCACAGAGTCACATCAAGACTCCTCAGTGGTTAATACTGTTTTGTTTTTATCTGAACACCTGTATTTTGGGAAACACCTTTCAGGAAGTGACCATGAAAACATTAGGAAGAGGCCATATAGGACAGGCTTTCAGGAAAGGCCAGCAGCTTGGCCCTGAGGGTAAGAAAACATGCCCCTTGCATGGCACAAATATGCACCTTGCATGGCATGAACATGCCCCTTGCATGGCACAAATATGCACCTTGCATGGCATGTGTCACCCCATCTTGTTCAGCAGGCACTCCGAGGCCCTGGCTCCTTCCTCAAAGAAAAGGAGGGTCTGCTTTATCCAATGCAAACTAAACACTAAGAAGAAATACAGTATCTATCACCACAACCCAAGAACTGCATTATTTTCTAAACATTTAGATAAAATTGCAATGGTACCAAGACAGTGAGGTGCAGCTGAAGTTACTCTTCTTCCCTAGCCATCACACTGAGCCACTGAGACCTTTCATTTAAAATGAAGTAACACAGCCTGGGTTTAATATATCAAGCCACTGGTTTTAGTCAATAACAACTTTAAATTTTAGTATAGGTTACATAAAGCAACTTCAGTTCTCAAGAACAGACAGACTATGCATCACAAGCTTTCCAGGTTCCAGGTGCTTCATTTTCTAATTCAGATTACTGGACAATACTGCTTTTTAAAACTTCAGAGGACAGCAGAGCACCTACATGCTTAAAGGGTAAATAGCTTTACCTCAGTTATGAACACATTTGAATGCAAGATCTCACCACTTATACTTGAAAGTAGCTTCATAAAGGAAAAGCACAGTATTTCTCTGTAATTTCAGAAGGATAAAAGCCTAGTTCAAAGGTAAAAACCTAAAATATCTCCCTATGCAACATCTACTACCACATACTGCATCCATTTCCATAGTGCTGATAAGCAGGGAACATACCAATATATAATACACAAAGTAAAATAATCAACTGCACAAAAACTAATGAAGATCTCTTCCTCCTCCAAACACAACACTGCTTTCTGAAAAAGTATGCAGAGATCAGCATACTTATTTCTCTCAAGACATGTAAGATACTATTTATTTTAATATCTGTAACTTTTTATTCTTAAACCAATTTAAGATGCAATACTAACTTCTGCTTAAGTGATACTTAAAAGTTTTTTCTAAATAACAGCTTCTTATTTATTTCACTAGATTTTTTTTTAAATTAGACCCACACTGTAAAGAATTTGCTGTTAAAATCATACCAGAACAAACAGTTTTCCCTTGCACTGACTGTCTTTAAAGCTAGCCAGGATTCCCATCTGGTTACTATTAGATGGGTGAAAATACCTTGATAGAAATACTTTGCTTGAATTATTTTGAAAGATTTTATACATTTGCTACTTTGACAGGTGGTTTTAAATGTGCTCTACACGTGAATTACTATTTGTTCGCTAAGTTTTATACTTCCTTTTCCACTCACAGGGGAGCTACCTGTGTAGAAACAAATTAATAATCTTCAATCAAGCTGCTATAGCTGCTATGTACCAACAACATCAGCTCTCATAACATCAACAAGAACAGGACTGGAAAACTTTCAAACATGTTTTTTGATGATCTGAACAATAGCTGCTAACTTAGTCTTCAAGACCTCACTATCAGGCTCAAGGGGACTTGGCTTGAGTTCCACTTCCTTCCATTTTCCCTTTGTTGTCACCATTTTTTGGAGACAGAAGTGATTCATCCCACTTTCTGCACAGAACACAGTGCATTTTGTCACCCAGTGTTATTCTTTCCCCACCACTGATACAGCGTATCAGGTCATACATAGCTGTCCTACTGCTCCACAGTTTACCTCAACCAAAGAATCTGAAACACCAAAAGGATGGCAAACTGCAAACTTTGTCATGAGGCCAAGACATGCAGAACTGAAGTCCCCATGCCAGCCCAATGGTGCTTCTCATAAGACTACTTCAAGCTCTTCAGTGTTACAGTCACATAATTCCTTTCTACCTATTAAGAAGCTTTAGAATTTAAGCAGCTTTTTTTTTTTTGTCTTTTCTAACGAAACAGGTGGAAAAGCAGTTCAGCAGTTGTCAAAATTATGTTACAATTCCAACAATGCCTTTCTACCGAATGAAACTCTACTCTGGATACAGAACTTTTAACTCAAATCTCCAAGTACGATCAGAAGCACCAGCGCCTTCCTGATTTCACACTGCTGGTTGAAGCAGCAGCACAGCAAACCTTGTAGAACTTTAGTCAGTACCTCTCTTACTACTACTCATGCTGTAGCTTCTCGGGACAGTTCCAGGCAACAGCAAGGAATTATTTTAAAACAGCACTTAGGGGAAAAAAAACATGGCTCAAGGAAAGATCTTGAGGTTAAATAAATAAGTAAATAAATAGATAACAGTGTTATGTTCACTATGTCAGCAGAATGAAGTCTGATGAAGGTATCATCACAATTTCTCCTCTCAGTTACTACCCTGAAAGCATTAAACTGAAACTCACTTCCTTACCAAGCTGTCCTACATTTAACACCATTTAACCCAATGGCCAACTCGCAAATTGTAGTAGTAATAAATAGCTTATGTTTTATAATGAGGTGCACCTCCAGAGAAAAATCCCACCAGACCAAAACAACTTCAGATGTGTAAGAGGGGAAACAGCATATATTACTTGGTTTCACACAAATATATTAGATATAAATTTGTTTAAATAGAACATGAAACTGCAGTTGATACATTTCTGATAAAACTCAAGAAAATCAGTGCATTTCAGCCAGTCTGTGAGGGTTGTTTTGTTTTGTTTTTTTTTTTTAATAACAGTCCGAAACAGAGAACAGGAAAAAATACTAGAATAACTGGTTAATGTTCACAAAAAGCTAGCAGCAATCAGTGTTTTTTTTTAATCTAAAGCAAGCAAATATTTTTATTTTGTAAAGGACTGGTAAGAGTGTGCCATTAAGAAAACAATAAATGTTTCAAGGCTAAGGAACTGCATAAATGTATTAATCCAGTAATAAGTATAGAGGGCGCACAGGCTATCTGCTGAGCCATGCAGAAGACAATTACACTGGCTGTCAAGACTTCCCTATTAAATGATAACAAAAAGCACCTAGTAAGAGACAGTGAAAATCAATTAACTGGGGAAATGGCAAGAGAACTAAAATATGGTGGTCAAACACTTCTCTATTCAGACATACAAAATCAAGTTTCCTTCAAGTCTAAAAAGCAGATATGTCATGTTAATCAAATAAAAAATAAAATACTCTTTTACATCAGGTTAACTTTGCAAGATATCAAGTACCTTCAGTTCCTGCTGAAACAAAAAGGGACTTGAACAAGTTGGCTCTTTGCAGGGTAACCCCCTTTGTTAAACAGCCAGAGTAAAGAAAAATCTAGGTTAACTGTTTCCAGAACGTGAACATTATAGTGTTATTTTAAACTTTATGTCTGGCCCAGGGACAGACATTTTGCAGGCCTCCTTGCTGGCTGCATGTCTTTGTTGTCATGGCTGCACTGATACAACACAATGCCTCCCATGACAGACTGCACAGGTACAACCTCAGTGAAGGTATTATGGGTAAAAACTGGGCTGTAAAAATATGCTGAACACTTCTGCAAGAAGGCACTTTTATTACTGGAAGACTCCTTGTGCGTGCCCTGTTCCTCATTTCCCTTTTCTGCCCTCAGCACCTTTTCCAGCTTCTCACAAGTAGCCACAACTCTAGAAATGACACTGTAAAACAGCAGAATGAAACACCTCTCATGTGTTTTGTAATCCACAAATGGACTAATTCACAACTTATTGAAACTGAAGGAACCATTCTGGAAACACTCCAAAGACTAAATGAAAACGGCCAAGAGACACTTTTCTATTTTAGAGTGCTCCGTTAGGTAACGCATTTACTCATCTCTTCATAGCAAAGTAATTTTCCCCTGTCCCTTCATCTGAGTGGGAAAATCCCACTAATGTTCTACATGTGGTACAGAAGAACAAGTAAACTTCTTCCAAAGCCTGCAATCTGGGTTTGCAAAGACTGGAACAAGTACTGTTGTTTTAGGACACATCTATGTCAGTAGCAGCATCTTACCTCTCAGCACTGACTTGAGGTTCAGCTTGGCTTGTCGGTGCAGGTCCTCCACACAAGGTGGTCTTGAGGAGGGTAGGAAGACATTTTCCTGCTGGTGCCATGGGGCAGTGTAGTGCACAGTCCATCTACTCTCTTCATCTAGGTTGGAAACAGCTGCAGAGAGACACAATAACAAGAAAATCAGATGCTATTGCAGATAGCTCTATCACAAAATCCCACGTGTAAGTTTCCCACACGTCATCCAAAACTGAAAGAAGCATTTTGTTTGCCATTGTAGACCCATTAAAACACTCCTTAGAACCTCACTTCCATAACAGTTAAAAAAACCCTTTCATTTCTACTCTAAAATTACGTTCTGTAAAAAACACTTTTTGCTCTTCCCATTTTTATACTTGCTGTTTTACTTATGCTAAACTTGAAACTCTGTTTTCCCCCCCTCTAGCTCTCACTCTTCACAAAGGAATCAGTTTTCCATTCTCTGATCATGGCAGGTGCTGTGCAGTGCAGAATAGCTCGGCTGAAAGATGCCCCTGGGAATATGACAGCTTCCATGAGAGATGACAACAGGTTCATTTGTATTGGGAAACAACCTTGTCTGACCTTCTGCTTCCTCGCACCAGAAACAAGATTCCAATGAAGCAAATAAATTAGGTACTTTCTTCTGTCGTGAGTGGAAAGCAGATATAAACAAAAGCACCTCCACGGACAAATACTGCTCAGAGCACAACAGCACTAAAGAGTGCTATCTCTGGCCACCTCTTTGCAGTCAACACAAATGTGAAAATAAAACATAAACCTTGTTCAAGTTCAGACAGTCAAGCAATGAAAACAGCCAAAGCACATACTGCCAGCATTTGTTTATCATTTATGCTTCCCAAGAGACAGCCACTGCCTATTGTTTCAAGTTTATCATCAATAAAAACTTCTACAGTTGAACAGCTTTATCCCTCCACCCTGCTGTAAACAGAAAAAGGGCAGTTGGGGGTCATGTTTTATGATCCCCCAGGCACCCTTTGGCCCTTCAGCCAGTATGCTGCACATCCTTGCTTTATAGCTCTCCAAAGCAGAAAAAGCCACTACAGATGTGCTGCCTCCCAAGCACCTGCCCTGCTGCCACAGCTCCACTGCCTCAGCCTCACTGTCAGCCCTGCATTTTCCCTTTGCTGCTGCACTGCCTGTGGCATCACTTTGTGGTTTGCCTGATGCTCTTGTGGTAGGAGAGGAGATATTTAAAACTGAGAAGCAAAAAGGATGCAACAGCCTCCTGTCACCTGAAAAATTACCCATTCCTTAACACTGCTGTGATCTACTACTGCTGAGATAATTTCAGATGGAAACAATTGGTATTCATAAGGCATATAAGCTATGCCTTTTGCTTCAAAACATAGCTACAGACTAATGCTCAGGGCCTGCTCTTTCCTAAAAGGACTTGAGGGGGGGGGGAATTCTTATCTGCCTCCTGTCACATATTTTAAATTAATTTCAGACCTCGAAAAAGGTTTTAAAATACTTTCAGTGGATGTCCTCATGTCTGTGTCTTGGTCCTGCATCCCACCCCCTCTCCCAAGACACACTGGTTGCAACAAGACAGACACCCATTCAGCCAGTGTGCATTCTTCCCGTTCTTGCTAACCAGCACTCAAACCTAAATCACACAAAAAGGCGAAGTCAGCACCTACCCGGTTACAGCATCAATCACCCCTTCTAACAGAAAACGTGACACTGAAAGTCAGTGAAAGGCACCCACGCCATTCCCTGGCTGAACCGGAGGATGGGGAGTGGGGTAAGGCTGGAGGAGGAACAGGAGGAGGGAAACACCTGCAGCCAAGTCCACTGTCTGCCTGCAGTCCTGCCATACCAAAACTAAGGTTTTTTGCTCGTCAGAGCAATAATAATCAAAACTATAATCAAAAGAAGTGGGGTGTGTGTGTATTTGCCAACTACTCTCTCTAGTGCGATTTGTCTGTCCTTCACGACTTAAGGAAGATCAACCTGACTTTAAAAGCCACTCTGAATCATCTTTAAAAACAAACCTTGGCTCAGAACGAACTTTATGCAGACACCTCAGCGACACAAGCTGCATAAGCAGAGACAGATGTCTGACAGATCATGGAGGGCACCAGAACACACTGGCACACCCTGCCTTGTCACCGAGTTGCCCATTCCACACCGAGAACTTTGGCTCCTTCAAAATCACCGTGACAAAGCACTTCCAAAGGCACGGTGTCCCAAAGCAGAGGTCCCAAAGACCCTCGCAAGGCTGCCTCCACACACTCCACAACGATAAACGGTTAAAAGAGTGGGATAAACTTAAAAAGGGGCTGCAGGAAGCAGAAGTGAAGCCGGAGGAACCTGCACTTTCCTTCAGAACTGGGCTGCCTCCTGAAAGGACAGTGACTATACTTACTCTTTCTCTTGAAAAGTTTCATCAGAGATTTAAGCTTTGTGTTGATGAAAACCACCATTTTCAAGGCGCTGAACTGCGATCCTGGAGTTGAAATCCCATAGAAAGGAGAAGTTGTAGAAAGGTGACTGCCAGACTGAACCTGCTCAAACTCTGCACACCAAATTTCTCTTCTATACGTTTCTCTCCTCTGCCTTTTTTTTTCTCTGAAATTACTTTAAATATTTCTAGATTTTTCTGATAGATGAAAAAATTTACAATTCTTTAGCCTGAATTTCTCCTCCTCGCATTTAACAGCCACTTCCAACAAGCAAAACAGGAGAAAAAAGAGCCCCAGCTGTTATTCTCCTTGGCACAGGACGAAAAAGGCTTTCTTGCTGTCCACAGCAGCTACTCCGCTCTTGTTCTCCTCCTTCCCTCCGCTCTCCAAGTTTGGCTGCTCCAGAAGGTCCCGAGCTGGCAGGTGCTTGCTCTCCTTCCCATGTCTCCAGCCGGCTGTGCGGGCGGAGCAGCAGGAGATCCCGGCACCTTCCGTGCCCCCGCCCCCTCCCGCCGCACCTCCCCGGTGCCGCCGCCGCGGGGGCCGGCCAGCCCCGGCCTCCTTCCAGTTGCAAATGAGTGCTGTATTTTCGTGCTAATCAGGATGCTCCGCTTTCCCACCGCTCCCATCCTTCCCCCATCTCCCCCCACCACCCCTTTTTTTTTTTTCCTATTTTCACCCTCTTGCTCCCACTTTATTAAGAATCCAGAGCTGCGCCTTAGCTGGCTGCAACACGCAGTCTCGGCTGTGCACTGCCTCCCCTTCCAGTCCCACTGCTCCCCCCGTAGTCACTGCCATTGCCCGAGACATCAGCACACTAATTTTACATATTGAATTTTATTCACTTACACTCCTAATTTATTCTTATTAGCGTCATCTCAGACCAGATACATGGAAAACAAAATCGAGTTATTTCTGGCTAATAGAGATTCTGTTATTCATCAAACGAAACTTGTGCATGGAGATGAAATAGCCCAGCTTTTTAAGATGCACATTATATCCTCGTGTCTTACAAAAATGTATCTGTACAGAGGTCCACAGCCAACCTTCCTTCCAGGAATGAACTGCAATTTTGCAGAAGTTAAAGAGAAAATTCTAAGCAGCAAATGAATGTGCTCAGCAGGGCATGCCCTTCGCACAATGTTCAGGCTCAAGAAGCAAGCCCTCCCGCACAAAGCAAGCTTAGGAAACCCCCTCGGGTTAACAATGAAAAGGATTTTTTTCCTCAGGAAAAAGAAAAATGCCAACAGCGGGGGGCTCAGGCTGACCCCAAAGCTGCAGCAGGATCCAGCCTCTGAAGCACAGCATGTAAAAAGCAGATGCTCCATAGGAACTTCTAAGTTTCACCAAACAGTTGAGACTCAGCCCTGCGAAGAACAGACTGTAAACAAAATCTGTTCATCATTGTCTGAACACATCATCACCAACATTTTATCAGTATTTTCCAAATCCAGAGATTTTGCAATCATGGGCTTGACATCAAAACTATCATAAGCAGCAGGTCACTCCAGCAGCTGCTGGTCCAAAAGGCGTTTTGACTGGCCAAAGGGACAGAAGGCCACGGTGCCATGGCAGCAACGGCAAGGAAGGCACCTCTTCTTTTTGCACTGATTTCCATCAAGCACCTTACACAAAAAAATGACTCTGGCATCGAACTCTGATAAGCAAGGTAACTATTTAGTGCTGGTTCTGAATTAAATACACAGTAATATCCCTGTTATACATTTGCCATTACCTATACATCCACAAACCACAAAATGCTTGGTGGTGTGTGTGCTTGCTGGACACACACACTGGAAGTGAGTTTAGAGTGACTCCATTTCTAACTCCAGCTACACTGCCATCTGAAAGCAAAACAAGGAGATGGTGACTCCTTTTCTAGTGTGGCGTCTATCTCTTTTAGCATGTAGGAAGTGCCTCTTCCTGCAAATGTAGGAAGGGGAGCACAGGGAAAGGAGACAATTTTAAGCTATAAAATGATGGAGTCTGGACTGCCGGAAGTGAGACAGTCTCTTCCAAAGGTCATTATGGAACCTCAAAAGAGCCTTGCAAGCCCCGGGAAGCAAGACTGTTACCTTTTCATGGTCAAGCCACTGTGAATCAACATGATCCTGGGTACTTGGGGTTGCTTGGAATCCTTTTCATTTCACCCCAGGCTACGATGTGTGCCAAGTGCACTGTGCTTTTTGTTATTGGATCCTCAACCCACCCTGGAGCATTTCTCCTGCCAGAAAACAAGCAACTGACCACCGTCCTCTACCCCTGATCTCAGCACTGAGGCAGACATGCAAATGCAGCAACAACAATACCTAAATTGATGTCTGCCTTTCATCCCCCTCCCCAGCCCGACCTTGCATCTACCTACCCTCAGGTCATGCTGTTAAAGAGGTCAGACATCAAAAATGGCTATCATAAGGGACTACTCTAAAGGAAACAGCGTCTGGCTACTCCTATCTGCACCTCTGATAGTCTGAACTAGTCCAACAACAAACAAAACCTCTTCCCCACCTGAGAAAACCCACTGACTTCCATAAAACTCATCACGTTGTCTCAACCCAACTTTCTGTAAACACTTTTCGTGTCTCAAGAAACTGTCATCTAATAGCAATTCTCTGAGAACTTAAAGCATGAAATGCCTGTGGCTTCTCTGCACTTGCCTCCCTGCGTTGAGAAGAGAAGGAAAAGATGGGGCAGTTTGAGAAAATTTCT